GGAGAATGGGTGAAAGCAGCGTAATCAGGATGTTGAATTACCCCTATATACAAGTTTTTAGTGGATTTGGTGACTTAGGCAATTTGAAAATGAGCTCGAAGACGAAATTTCTGGAGTCCAAACGGCATTAGCCGGTCATCGCCAGACGGTGCGCCACACGCGACGGCGCGGCGACTTACGATTCTTTTGTCCGTCTCCCCGGTTGCTCCTCTCAACATCCTTGTCGCCCAATTTTTTTGTTTTGTTTCACATGAACGTTCAGAGATGAGGAATGTCCCTCTCGACGAGAATGTGCGAATATGTTTGTTGTACGAGTTCAGACTAGGAAGAGTCACCGAAGTAGCAGCCTACAATCTGAACAAAGCGTTCGGTCCTCAGGCTATTTCGTTATCCTCCGTGAGCCACTACTATGCAAGATTCCGACGAGGAGACACGAGCGTGGAACCGAGTCAGAAGGGAAAATACTGTAAAGTGGACCCGGAATTGGTGCGAGCAATGCTGAAAAGGGATCCAAAACTATCATACCGAAAAATGGCGAAAGAATTAGGAGTGGATGGAAAGACGGTATCCAGGCTTGTGAAGAAGATCAAGGAGGGAGCGGTGTTACCCAAGTACAAGTACAAGGTGGGCTTTTCGATGCAGCTACTTGTTTTCGTTTAGGGGATAGCAGATTTTTGCAGTAACGTATTCCCCTGATTTGTGTGGGGGGAAAATCCTCTTCAGAAAGATCAAATAAAGGTGCAATCCAGTCTACATTCATACTTTGCGTCCCGGCGTTTTGGGAGAACAAGCATTTTGGAGAAATCGGCATTCCGAGAGAAAAGCTAGTGTAGGTGTCGATCGGCTCCTGGAAGGCCGATTCGCTCAAAACGCTGGTTACTCCGAAACTTTGATTCTCTCTCATAACTGGTGTCGCTTCTCCCCATATTTTGAAACGCTGATTCTCTCAGAACGCCGATTTGCAAAGTGTGAACGCAGCCTCAGGAAGTTCACGTTGTGGCGACCGCTGAAACTAGCTACTTAGTAATCTAGCACTTCTACGCTAAATCAATTAGGTCCTAATGCGATTGCTGTGTAAGTGGCGTCGCTTACACCGCCACACCACAGGGAATTAGACTCCGAATTCCCACTCGTCCCTCACTCACGCCCGTTGGCGAAATCCCAGCTAACTCATTTCCCCCTTCCCTGACCAGGATTTCCGCTCTGTATAAGCTATCATCACCTTCTTGGTCGACATTGGATAGTTTGGCGCTTGCAGTACTGTGTTGCCCTATGCAGTAGATACTGGTCCCAATGGCTTGTTCTTCAGTTTAAGGATGTGTATCCAGTAGCTGGTCACCCTTCCATGATAATGGTGACTGAAAATGGGGACCTGCAATATGTGACCATTGTGCGTGCGATCGCGAAGCGGTCGTTTGTTCTATGTCTCAGAGGGAATAATTATATAAAGCAAAGCTTTTCCTGGATTTTTTATAAAGCAAACTCAATGATGGGCCTCCTAGCCTACAGCTGGAGTGTATCTTCTTTCACGATCCTTCAGGAAAATTTTCTGCTTCAGGCTGTTCCTGCCGCGCAGCTCATAGAAGAGCCTAGCTCCAACTATCTGGAAAATTTGCTTGGACTTCCGAAAGTATGTAGCACTTGTTTTTATTATGAAGCAGTGGAAGCATTATAATGAAAATATGTGCGTTGATATTTGCAAATTTCGGTAAGGCTTCATTCCAGCCTGTTCTCGCTGAAAAACTTCTTGAAGTGCCTCTTTACGATCATCATGAAGAGCCCCAGAAAATTACGGAGGTTTCACAGGGTACGTTTTCTTCGAGATCCGATTGGAATTGTACAAGGCAAGAGTGGAACTTTTAAAAAGGTTTTTGTTCTTTCGCAGTCTCCCGTGTTTCAGTTCTGTTTAAGAGTGCGTTCATACTTCGCGGCGACGTTTGGCGACTACCAGCTTCTTGGATTTTCTGAGCGCCCGCCAGCACTTTGAGCGTTCACCGGTGCTTTCAGCGATAATCGATACCTATACATTCTGAGTAGCTCAACACGCTGGTAAATGCCAAAAACAGCGGCGGTCGTTCAAAACGCTGACGCTCAAACGCTCGGAACGCTGGCGCAAAGTATGAACGCGCTCTCTAACCAATGAAAACCAAGTGCTTCATTGCTATAGGACAATTGCAAGGAGGAAATGGCGCAGGTTCTCCCACCAACCGGACGGCTCTGAACACGCGACGGGTTCCTAAAGGTTGCTCTTCTTAACTATCTCCATTGTACCTGGTAACCCTGCTACTCTTTCAGGTAATATCAACGTTGTTGTGAAGCGGCCAATTCCGCGATATAAACCTTGGAGAGGACGCATAGCTCTGAGAAGTAATTATAGTGGTGAAAATCAGTTGCTATTTGAGGCGTTATTTCCCATAGCAGGATTAGCAGAAGGATAATATCAGTTCCGTTTAAAGTGAGCGTCTAGGAAGAAGCACTAGAACGCAGCAAAAAATCATTCGGTGCTGAACCACCGTGGAATGTATGCGTCGGGTGCATTGAGCTTCTACTTGTATCCTAGAACGCTTCCGAGTGCAAGATTCAATGCCATTGGGGACTTCCTTGCCGCTTGCAAACCGTTTCCTTCATGGAACTTGTGACTTCTGGTAGGAAAAGCTTGATTAGTTCTGACAAAGTGCGATTTCACAGGCTACCGTTGTGGTAAATTCGTGTACATGCACCTTGCTTGATTTTGAGTCACGATGAATAGTGCATGACCCAGAAGTCCAAAAGTCTCAAAGACATTTTTACCATCGTTATTCGGCTTCTATACAACGCATCCATTTTCTTCTCTTACACTAATTTGTACTCAACAGAGTTATATCTTCTTTCATTTTCCTGTACATGCCTTTACATCTTTTATTTGCCATGGAATATTTGCATGTACTTTTTCACAATTTTTCTCGCTTTGTCCTTTTTCTTGAATCCTTCCCCTATGTAGTCCATGTCCATGTCGTCAACCCTATCGTACTGAAGAGCTCGGGGGTTAGGAGCCCGGGGGTTGGTAAGACATCGATGATTCGTCTACGATAACGGGCGAAACGGATCATCTGTGATGTTGAGTGTATTCCTTTCCCCAATATTTGTTTCTTTGTTTCTAATTCGCCCTACTATGACCTCTCATTGAAGAGCTGTAGTGCAGTTACGCACACTCTATCAGCAATAATTAATTACCCGCAATGATTAATTAATTACCCAAGATTGAGGAACCGAGTGGTCTTGCAGAGCACCATGCTGATAACAAAGATGAGTTTGTGCAGAAGGAAAAGCTTGCTGAACAGGCGGAGAGGTACGACGATATGGCACAGTCTATGAGAAAGGTTATCGAGTTGGAGGCTGATCTTTCAAATTGAGGAACGCAATCTTCTTTCTGTCGCCTACAACGAATGTCGTTGGTGCTCGCCGTCCGAGCTGGCGTTCCAACTCATTGATTGTAGGCGGAAGATTCCGAGAGGATGCACCGGGTGGCCAAAAAATATCGTGAAAAAGTTCATAAGGGACTCTGTGGCATTTGCCAGGACATCTTGAGCTTGCTGGACAAATTTCTTATCCCAAAGGCTGGTAATCCTGAGTCGAAAGTGTTTTACCTCAGGACGAACCGTGACCACTACAGGTACCTCGTTCAAGCTGCAGCTCGGGTGTCCACAGTCGCAGCAGTCATACCAGGAAGCAAACATCGCCAAGGGCAAGATGCAGCTACTCACCCCATCCGCCTTGACGTCATCTTGAATTTCTGAATGTTCTACTACGACTTTTTGAATGCCCCTAATAAGGCCTGCCAGCTGGTTAAACACGCATTTGATGATGCCATTGCTGAACTTGATACTTTGATGAGGATTCATTCATACAAGGACTCTACCCTCATAATGCAGCTGTT